CTGACAATTGCATGTAACATGAAATAGCCTGTCACCTCTGAGTGTTGACTTCAATGTTCACTTTTATATTAATATATATATATGTAAAGTGTGGATGGTCCTGCACGAGGCCTTCACCACTATAATCAAATCTCATGTGTCGGGCTGTCGGTTTCCTGGAAACTGATCTGCTTGACCCTCATACGTCGAATCTATATATAAAAGCAGTGTTGACCTCAGTGTCCAACTGCTTACCATATGAAACTTTTAGTCATTGTATTAAAACAGTTTTTATTATGTTCTTAATATATAGCACACCTTCTCGCCTCTCTCTCTCCTCACATATATTTATATATAATGTGGGTATTGTTGGTTTCTGAGGGAATTCCAGTAGAGATAGAACTCTATCTTAAAAGTTTGTTTTGCAGTCTCTGACATTATATAATTTCATACACATGATGCTTTTAAAAGAGCAGCTGTCTTGACAACTGTGCCTCCATCAGATTATCACTTTGGCTTCAGGCATGGTTTCAAGACTGAAGCCTTGTTACCAATAACCCAATACAACCCAGAGATACTTCGTGATGCCACCAAACTTTGTCTGTTTTGTATAAGTAGGGAAATGTCAGATGAAAATGCAACCCCATCATAATTTTCTTGTTCTTTTTACAACTTTCTAATCAATGGTCAGGAGCCTAGAAATGGAATGTTAATTCAATGATGGGAGATTTAAATTAAATGACCAGATGGTGGTTTCAAGATGCTGAGCAGTGAACAAACTTTTGTTTGAAAGTCAACATTGAGTTCTGTCTTATCTAATCTGAAATGAATAGCAACAAAAGAATTTTGTCTACTATAATATCTTCCCCCATATTGGTTCTCTTGAATTACTTTACAATATTAATCTGTGATTTACACTACTGTCAATATAGGCAACTAGTTTTGAGTGCTGGTGTTATTCTTCTTCCACTTTCAAGGCATCATAGGTGTGTGTGTGTATATATATATATATATATATATATATATATATATATTATCAAATGAATAAATTTAAATGTATGTGTAAGTGTTCATATACAATTACATACATATATCCTTTGGTGTAAGAAAAACAGTGCTCAGTGCTAAATAACAAAGCTATTAAGTATATATTAGTAAAAAATACACACACACACACACACATATATATATATATATATATAAATAAGTAAAATACATCACCACTGGTGGCATAAGGTACTATGTATTTTTACTAATATATATAAATTTTCCAGCATTCTTACTTTTTTTTCCATTTGGTGGGAGTGAGTAAGTGCAAAAATTGTTTGTATTGTCCATTGTCCGAAGTGCTTTCAGTAACTTCTTTAACCATTTTCAAGAGGGTTTGTTTTTGGGTGTTAATTTCTCTTCATGTTTGACTGTAAAAGATGCGTTTTTGTATTGTTTTGAATACTAGTAGGATCATTTACTCTGGTCTTCACATGTTGATCGTGGCTGGAATAAACTCAAAATAAATTCTCCTAGTATTGCCAACATATAACTGTTACTGTAAGTTTCATGCCAACTGTGATCATCAACTGATTATAATCCCAGTTTCCACTCTAATGGGATCTCGTAGATTAATGTAAAGTTAACAGTGCTCTATTACCATTCTAGTGGGAACTACAATCAGAATAAACTAATGAATGGGCAAATGGAAACTAGAGAAACAAACCCTACCTAGTCTAAGCTGGGAAAAATTAAACACAATCATACATTACCAAAAAGGAACCATGTTCTGTGGCTACAGAATTAAGAAACCCAAAATGGAAACCGAACCAAGACAGAGCCATGTTAAGCAACAACCAGAAATACATCTCGAGACACTGACTAAAAACAGTTATTCTGAGTTATGGTGACAGATTGGTATCTCCTGTCCCCCTCGATGTATTTCTGTTTGTTGTTTACATATATATTTTTGTTCTGTACAATGTCATAAGAAATCATACCTAAAATATGTATGTTATTAATATATGCTTTGGTACTAGTGAACAGTTCAAATACCATTTTTCCAGTTCTGGAATTATAACACCTATTACTACTATATCTATGGTAGGGATTATCTCCCCTTATACATATTTGGTATTTAAATTAGTCCAGCTCAGAGATTAAAGCTTTAGATAAGTTAAATCTACATTCATCTTTTCACTATAATATGTTACAGCTATGAAAGCATACATCCACTGCATTTTTAGTAATCTTAACCTGAGTAATAGACATTTTTCAGAAATGATCATGTTTATTCCATAGTGCCATTTTGGTATGGCAGTTAGGAAACAAGTTTTTTATGTTTAATATGCTTATTAATAAGAAATGTTTGAAAATCTTTATATGTAATTTCTGTACTGTAACTCTTTTTCATGCCTCACTAATCTACACTGTGTGCCAAATTATTATCAAGATAACTTTTTTTCTAATATTTCAAAAACCGTCCAATCAATTCACACAAAATTTTCACACAATGTTGGCCACATTAACCTGCGAGATCACTGAAATTTTCATACTGATCTGCGCAATGTAAACAAACTGGCGCCATATTTGTTATCAGCACGGTGATTTGAGTGTGCCAAATTATTAGAAAGGTTTAGTAAAATTCCCAGAATTGAGCAAACAAAACGTTTATTAATGTTGCACGTGAATGTTTATGATCAAAAGAAGCTAATAAATAAGATACTCAAACAAATAATAACAGATACAAACAAAACACAGTTTTAAACAAATTAATAGGGAATGTGCTTTCCCTGTTTTAAAATTACTTGAAGAAATCAACGATCTATAGAATTAGTTAATTGTAGGATGTCATCTGCTGTAATGCCGTGAGATATGTCAAGAATTGCTTCCCACAACTCAGTGTCACTCCTGAATTGTCGTTCGTTGGCGTACAGTCTTCGCTTCATGATGTTCTAAAGGTTTTCGATTGGGTTCAAATCCGGAGAATTTGCTGGCCACTTCATTTTTCAAGGTCCATCGAAGCCTAACTGTTTCAAATATCCAGTAGTCTTGTGAGCAGCATGTGAGGGAGCATTATCTTGCATAAAAACAATGGCCCTTCTGAAGGCAAATCTTTGCCTTTTCAACCACGGTTCAAGATTCTCCTTCATAAACGATATGTATGCATCAGCAGTCATTTTGACGCCATCTGGTACTCTCCATGGGCCCACTAATGTCTTTCCAATAATATCACCCCAGATCATTATGCCTCCACCGCCTTGTTGGTGTCTCAAACGCTGATGGCGATTCTGTCTGTTCATTACCCAGTCTTTGCACCATCTATCTGGCCCATCAAGTGTTGCTCGAGTTTTGTCTGTGAACAAAACTTTAGAGAAGTCAATCTTCATATTGTCCTCGGCCCATTTCAATCGATTTTGAATGTGATTTCTCATCAACGGAGACTTTGATACAGGGTTGACTGTGGTTGCTATTTCCCTCAGATACCGACACCGAGTACTTTTAGACACAGTAGGATCCGCAATGCGACTGAAAAGCTCTTGACCAGTAAGTCCAGGGTTCTTCATAGCCTCTCGTTTAAGTCGTAACATGAGACAACATGAAATAACCCTCGACTTGCCTTTATCTGCCCTTTTGCGTACTTGTGTAGGGTCGGCGATGAACTTTTTCACTGTTTGATGACACCTCCCTATCATTTTAGAAATTTCTAGGGTAGATTTATCTTTTGAGAGTTCTGAGGTGATAGTTTTCTTTTCAGCATCACTTAAACTGCTTTTACGGCACATCTTTTCACTAAATTCTTACACTTTTTTAATAATTTGGCACACTCAAATCATCGTGCTGATAACAAATATGGTGCCAGTTTGTTTACATTGCGCAGATCAGTACAAAAATTTCAGTGATTGTGCAGGTCAGTGTTGCCAACATTGTGTGAAAATTTTGTGTGAATTGATTGGACAGTATTTGAAATATTAGAAAAAGAGTTATCTCAATAATAATTTGGCACGCAGTGTATATGGCGCTAATTCATCTAAATTTGACACATAGACTATAATTCTTTTATCATGACCAAATGCAAATAATTATCCATGAAACTAAATGCTTGTCTGAAACCATGTTTAGCAATAAGACAAGCTAAATTACCATGTATCAGTTCCAATATTGAATTTGGGCATTTATCAGGTTTTCTGTTTCCGAACCGTCATTTTTCCCTCTCTATAAATTACACACTAAAAATTGTTTCTCTGTAATTTTTATATCTTATTATAGCTTTCATAGTATAATTCATGGATCTCTTTTAACTTACATGAAACAAATTTTGCTAAAATTGCCTTGTTGTGAAAGTACAGAAGCAATTTTGTAGTCGACTGCTTGGATAGAAAAATATTCTGTTTAAATCTAATCTTCCAGGATATAACTCTATATATTCAGGTATGAATTCCTCAAAGAAACAGGCACATTGTCTTTCTTCTAATTAGTAAAATTGTTTCCAGCATTAAAATTATAGAAATATAAATATTAATTCATTTCATATGACCCAGTAATCATCCCAACTGTCACCTGATAATCAACAAACATAGCATTTTAATGTGGGTATTCATTCCAAGTGAAAATTAAAAGGACTGTTTTAAAAAAGAGTCAATTATTTTTACAAAGTCATTCCTTCTGTATCTGCAGTTTGCAGTAATATGTTCTTATTTGCCACATGCAGAAAACACTGTGCTATTGTTTCTTAATTTCAAATTCTGTCATTTGGTTCCCATTCTCACTACACTATTTTTTAAATCATCTTCTTATAGTTGTTTTTTTTCCATTTCCTTAAAACTTCTTATTGGTAACTTATTGGTAAATTTGCTGAATCTTTTTGAGTAATGACAGTGACAAATGGCTTTAATTTTGATGGAAATTCCTTCAAGATCATCGTTATTAACAGACTGTTGCTGTTGATGATTATTTTTCCCAAAGGTTTTAAAGAAATGTCAGCATTTTCTGCTCTAATCATATTGTCAGTAATACTTTCTGCTACTAAGGCTTATGGCCCTAACACGTTGAAACACTGGTTACTGTATGGTCACCAAAGTTAAGCAACAGCGAGCCTGGTCAGTACCTAGATGGGTAACCACTTGGGAATACAAGGTGCTGTAAGTTTGGATGTGCAAGTGGTGTAATGGATAATAACTCGGAATTGATAATTTAAAAGCCAAGTTCCAATTCCTGTTGAGTTTCTTATATTCACTTACGTACATCCTTGGGAAATATATGAATACAGCTCTTCTTCCCCAGCTATAGGTTAATTAGTAAAACCTGTATCATTAAGCCATTATTATCTTTAAAAAAATCTTCCAATCTAAAAATATTTTCTAGCTTTAAATAACTCACAAAGGGTTGATAAACTGTACAAAATGAATCAATCAAAAGCTTTCTGCTACTGATTTCCTCAAAAAGATAATTCTGTATAATGAAATGATTTTGAGTTTTTCTTGAGATAATGTTCTTAACTGAAAATTTCTCTGTTGCAGTCTGAGGACTTAGATGGCCAGATGTAAGAAGTGATGTAGTCACAAAACAAATCCAAAATGACCCATTTGGTTATTTCCAAACTTGTGAACATTTAAAAAAAGTAATAACTACAATTATTTTTGGAAGTCTTTTCATATGCAGAAGAGCATAGCATTGGTAGAGCTATAAGAATATTTCTTTGTTTTTATTGATATGTTTATAAATTCCTTGGTGCTTTGAGATAACACCAAAATGAATTGGAAGCTTAAGTCTGTATCATAAAACTAGTATTGGTTTACTCTGAGTCAGTCAAAGTAAAATCTGTTCTTTTCCAATTTATTTTATCTTTGTATGATTTAAAGACAAGCCACCAACAAAGAATCTTTTCATTGATTGTTTTCATGCTGCAGTGTCTCTTTTTATACCTAGTCAAACAGCTACATAACTAATCATATTTCTATAGTCATAATAATTTCCTCTTTTGCAGTACTGTTCAACACTTAGTTGTCCATTGGCTGCAATTTCTACATTTTATGAGATGATAATTTTAAGATTTAATTTTGTTTTATATCTCTTGTGTTTCAACTGAAAAGAACCCAGTTTGTTTTTATTGTATTACAGAGCTTTCATTTTTCTCAGTCAACCACGATGTGTTAATGGTTATTAGTGAATTTATGTATCAGGCTTTAGATAAGAACGGCAAGACTTGGACAGTGGCATAAGCTATCTCTAAAGCTTTTGACAGGGTTTGGCATGCTAGCCTTCTCTACAAGCTCAAGGGCTATGGTGTCATTGGCTAGATATTTGACTTAATCCAATCATTCTTAAGAAATTGGGTAATAAAGGGTGTGTTAAACAGATATGTTTCTAGATCATTTCACATTAATGTGTAAGTCCTCCCCCAGGGCTATATCTTTAGACCTATATTGTTTCTTATCTTCATTGACCTTCTCAATGTCATCACTTCGCAACTAAGTATTTATGCTGATGACACAACTATTTACTTTTGTCTTAATAGTAAGTCCAATCGATCATACAAAATAAAATTGGCAACTACTCTAAAGAAAAGGACTGTCAGTTCTTAACTGGGGTAAGAAGTAACTTGTAAATTTTAACACCTCCCCAAAACTGCTATCCTTTAATCATCATAGAGAACCAATTTTACTTTACATCATCATGGCTGATGCTAATCTCCCAGAAAGCAAGTCATTATGCCTTTTTGTCTCACATGAAGTGGAGAGATTATATTGAATAAGTTGCTAGATCTGCTGCTAAGAAGATTAGTTCACTGAGTTATGCCAGACAATTTTTCTTGCCAGAATCCATCTTGCACATTTATAAATCTACCATTCAACTGTGCATTAAATATTGCTGCCATATCTGGTCTGGTGCTCCTACTGTATATCTCAAGATTTTCAACAAATTTCAATGGGTCTGTCATGTTATCATTTCTGACCTGACATCTTCAGTCACTTTCCCAATGCCATGACATGACTTCCCTCTGTCTTTTCTATAAATATTTTCATCACAGTTGTTCTAATGAGCTCTATTCCTTGATAACTTGACACATGAATTTAAGTGTACTAGTAGATTGGTTGCTAGGTCACATTGAAATAACTAGATGTAACTGTAAGTTCTATTCTGATAGTTTCTTTTCTTGCACTTCTCACCTGTTGAACTCTCTTCCAGTTTCTTGCTGCCCTGCCGCATACAATGTTTAAAAATTTATGCAAGATTAATCATCATCTTGCTGAATTCTGTTCTTTTACTGTCTTTCACCCCACTAAAGTTTTCCCATTTTCTTCCACTCCCTGTAACCCTTTGTGTCTTAATGGCATTATCATCTTGCATGGAGTGAAAGGATTTTCCCCGAAATTGTAAATTGACTTACATCAGAAAGAATGATATAGTATTAAAAAAAAAGCTACAATACAATATGAAGTTTTTATTAACATTAAAATTAATGGCGTACTTGGCTTTAAATTGATGCGACAATATCTTTAATTTCTAAGGGTTAGTGCTGATCTATTCAAGTCTTATAAAAAAAACAACATCAGACACATGCCACAAGATATATAAACATGTTTGATGTACCTGAGCAGGGAAACCAAACAGTATAGAATTTTAAATATTGAAATGCTCTCTTGCATAATTCATTTCCCAAAATTTCTGATAAAGCCAAAATAAAAGCAAAACCTGTTAAATCTATAAATGTTTTCCTATTTGTTCCTTATTTAATCAAATGTTCATCACTCAGACTTTATTTTTCTGATTGAGTCATGATTTCAAATCCCTTTTCACAAAGGAAAGAGTGGTTTGAACATGCAAGAGATCAATGATGTGAAATGTATTAAAGCCACTGTTGAAAACTAAAATGGGATCACAGTGTGGCTAATTTAATCAGTAACATTATATTAGACTTTTTGACCTCTACCACAGGCAGATGATGTCATTTTTAATATCGGTCAAGCATTACATAAAATTACTATGCAGTGACCCAAGATGTGCAAATGATGTAACTGCAGCTTGAAATGAGAAATCAGAGGGCCAAATTTGAATTCCAGTTAACTTCATTTTATTCACTTGCATGCAAATACCCTGAGTTAAATAGTAGAACTTGTACCTGGAAAAATCATTGTTCACTCTCAAAAATTCTTAATGCAATATTCACTGACAAAAATATAAAAGAAATAGGTTTTGGTTTTATGACACAAAGGGTTGATAAGATGTAAAAAAAAAAAAATTTAAATCAATCAAAAAAGCTCATGACCCAGCAGTGTTCTGTTGCATTTGACAGAAAATTATATTTGTGTTATTATATGTTTTTGAATTTGGTACTTGAGATTATAACATTGGAACTCACAGACTACATATTTGAATTCAGTAAGTTTGATATATAAAAACCTTTCCAAATGTTTTCAGTCTTCTCTATAATAAAACTCAATAAGTAAATTCAACTTGTTAAACATTGACATGCTTATGATTATGTGTTACATAATATCACCTGTTCAACAATGATATTTAGCACATATAAATATATAATCATATGCATTTGAATTTTGGTGTACATTTAATTGAAGATATAATATCACATTTGGTTTGACTATTTTGTTATACTGTTTAGATATATGTGATTTTGTAACAAAAAGATGTTATTTGAGATGGGTTTGGATATCGAACTTAATATGAATACTCCATGTAAATTTTCTTGAAACTAACTCTTTCAAGGTTGATTTTATTTTAAAATTTTACCATTCGTAAGGTAAATAAAATTTAAATTAATTTTGGGAACAATCTACACAAGTTAATTATAATAGATTACAATTAAAACATTTTACATTGCTACACAAAAACTTTCATGTTTCAGAACTATTATAACTGCTGTTATAATGAAATAAACATGTTGAGGATTAGGTATTGTTATTCTTTAAAACATTTATTTTTGGTAATACTAACATGGGGATGGGGGCGGATTGAATAAAGCCGTGTTTTACACGTTCACCATTGTTGTTGTCCTCCCAGACCAAACTCACTGATTCAGGCCAAAAACCCTGTACAGTTATCTCCCTTAGTTGGCTCCATCCTAGCACCTTCCCTTTTTTTAGGTATTGTATCTTTTTTTAGATATTGTTTACTTGCAAGGGTTTTAATTTTGACTGAAGTTGAGCTAGTGGTGTCATATTGTGAGAATGGTGACCTGGCTAAAAAATTGCACACAGAGTTGAGAGGGGTGTTGAAGAGGCCCAGTGACTCCATAAAATCTATCCCCAAAAGGTTATGGTCGGTGTTTGCTACATAAACAACACCAGACGTGCTAGTCCCATTTAGAGTGACAGTGGTTGTGAATTCGCCAGTAATATGAACACTATCTCTGGATGCACTCCATGCAATATACGATGTTAGCTCTAATTTAGGTTTGCTTATGGTGTTCCATAAATTAAATTAGAGTTATATCTGAGGCAGTGTCAATTTGCAGTCATGTGTCATGGTTATTTAAGTTAACAGAGACATATTTATGTCTCAACTTGGAATTGGGTACAAAAGTTGCTACCAGACTGTTAGATTATGAACTTTTGGAGGGCTGCCATGTATGAGATGTTGGTTTGCATTGAGGTAACTGACAGAACCCATTGTGTCCTGTTTTGCTACATCTTTGGCAGCAATGTGTCTTGAACAGACAGTTACATGAAAAATGTCATCCAGCACAGTTCCAACATGTGGATGGGGGCTAGCCAGCCCTCTTGTCCAATGCCGGACTTTCTGCTTGGTCTTGTAGTTGGACCATGTGGACTATAATAGCAGTGGAAGGGGCTGAATATTGAACTATGGAGGAGTCATGTTTCAAGTTTATAAGATGCTGGCATTCAACTGCCACTTGTTACAGTGTCATGTTGGGATTCTGCTCAATTTTTAACAGGATCTGAGTACAAACTTCTGCATCACTTGGTGAATGCAAGCCCCAGATAAAAATTAAGCATTTAAATTGGGAATCTGTGATTGATGATGAGAGCCCAAAAGATTCATATTCCCAGTTGACAATACTGGCATATGTGGTGAAATATGCATTATCACATTTCGACAAATTCAAACAATTGAAACGTAAATTAAAAAATTGACGTTTGCTCACCAAAAATTTGTGTCAATAT